TTTTTTTTTTTTTTCAGAGCGACCCCCCCACACCCCCCCTTCCCCTCCAAAATATACTCCCGAGGAATTTCGAGGGGGGATTGGGCTAAACACACCATTTCCCAGCGCTTCACAACCCTGCTGCCTGTCCCTCCAGCCCAACCCCCGTGCCAGGAGCCCACCATTCCCTCCACCTTATCCCAGGGATATGCCCGAGCGCTCCATGCCGCCACCCACCACCCTTCCCCTCGTCCCCAAAACCCCCTTCTCCCGCCGGCGTGCGGCGATGGGCGGCGGCGGGGTGTTCCTCCTGCAGGGATGGCGCTCTCGGTGCTGGTGATCCTGCTGCTCTCCGTGCTTTACGAAGCGGTGAAGATGGGCAAAGCCGTGCTGCTGCGGCGGGCGCTGCTGGCGCTGCCCCGCAGCCTCAGCCGGGAGTCGCTGGTGGAGCCGGAGGAGGGGGACACCGCCCCCCCGCAGCGCAGGTACCGGCGGACCCCCTTTGCGCTCACCCGGGGGGATGCTCGGGGATGGGAGCGTGACCCCTGGGCCAGCGCAGGAGGGGAGAAGGGGTGTCAAGAGGCGGCCGTGGAGGAATAGGGGAATGTGTACCACCTCGGGGGCATCCCATCCACTCCGGGTACTTCAGGGGATGTCCAGGGTGGTTTTCAGCTGGTGTAAGTGCTCCCACTCCCCCCGGGAGCCACCGTGGGTGCAGGAGGGTCCTCGTGGTTTGGGAACGGGCACAAGCAGCGGCTCGGGCACCCCGGCGATGCTGGTCCACGTTTTTCCTTCCCAGCACAAAGCGTTGGAGCCAAGCCCTGGGTTTTTCCTCTCATTTTTAATCCCAGCCCCGTGCCCGAGGCTGCTCTTACTGCCAACCTCTTAATAATGTCCTCCCCGTTCCCTTGGAGCGGGATTTCCCCCCCTGCGCTGCCGCTTGCAGCCCCCATCCCTCTCCCCAAACCCATCTCCGGTCACTCCGGGGCGGAGGGGGAGACGCCGCCTGCCCCGGCCCTTCGCTCATGGGGTTTCCCTATCTTCTTCCATAGGTGGTTTCGGTACCACGTCGGCCAGACGCTGTTCCACATGGTGCAGGTGGTGCTGGGCTACATGGTGATGTTGGCCGTCATGTCCTACAACGCCTGGATCTTCCTCGGGGCCATCGCGGGCTCCACACTGGGCTATTTCGTGGTGTACCCCCTGCTCGGTCGGGGCTAAGCACCCCCCAACCCCCTCTGGGACGGTGGGCGACGTGCTCCACACCTCCTGCTACTTTGTCTGGAATAGCTGCTGTCACTTCTGCTGGGTCTGGCCTTGTCCCCGTGCTGTGCGGGACGCAGCACCCCAAGGACTCGCTGGGGGGACCCTCGGCGCTGGCCCCGCTCAGGTGGGGTGGCACTGGGGAAGGGGAACCCCATGGCCACCGCTGCCACCGTCCTCGGCCGGTGGCCGTCCCCCGGCTCTCAGGGAGCTTTGGCCGGGTGATGACGGCGGGGAAGGGGGGATGTGCTGGGAATTTCCTGTCATCCATCCCCGTCCCCCCCTCCCACGCTTTTCAGGGGGGTTCATCCTGGCTGGAACGGGAATGCTCCAGTGACCTGCTGGGGAAGGGGACATGCTGGGGACAGGCACCCCTGCCCAGAGCTGCCCTGCACCGAGCCCCTCTTCACCCAGTGCCTTTTTGGGGATAATGGGGGTCCTGCACCCCCACCCCCTCCCCCCCGCAGTGATTCAGGGATGGGGTCGGAGCCCCCCCGTGGCCGTGCCGAGGGGAAGCTGCTGCTGCGGGGGCCT